AACATTCTGATTATAAAAACTATTTGTTTCGGTATATCTTTCCTGGACTCACCATTGGAAGTTAAAGCTGCGGGGTGTGGTGCGCTTCTTGTTCGTTGGGGTGGCTCGCTTGGCGGGTGATGATCCCCGTTGGTAAGAACGGGGGGTGGATAGGGCTCCATGTTGATTGGAGTTACGGATACGTTTGGCGACCTCATATCTGCGGCCATGATTTGACCAGAGATCAGCTCACCCCGATGGACGGAATGATGGTTGATGTTGGCATTCTATGAGGTGGTGGTGGGTTGGAAGGGATCGGTGAACGATCACTGTAATAAAATAAGCATAATGGTAATTTAAAAAATATATAAATATACAGTGCTTTTCTTTAATGTCCCCCCCTTTTATTTTTTGAATGGAACAACTCAAAAAATTTAAATTTGGGATAATGAAATTAATGCATGAATACTTTATTTTGAAGTGAAATAGACAGATGAAACTTTCAAGATGGCGACTTTCCGTCATGATTTCGCAGAATTCTGTTCTTCGATCAGGGTCATCTTCAGTTAATTGGTGTACCATTATAATTTTGTATGGACGATACCTATTCCTTCCTACCTATTTAAAAGTCTCCACGGAATAAGTAGACTGTTCAGGATTTACTACCATCTCACTCACCAATTATTTGCACTACCGGTAACTGTGAATTTGGATACAAAAGTTCCCTCAAATATTTTCTACAGATAGGACGATTCAGAAAACGTTCATTGAAAATCCTTTCAGTCTCGTGAAAGTTACGCGACACACCGTAAATAAAAATCGCTTCAATTTTTTCTTCCAATGGACGAAAATTGACCATTTTAGAGATTGTTGACGTGGTACCTTTCTACTAGTAAAATCGAAAACTAAATGAGAATATTCTAGCTGAACAATGATGTTCATTGTCGTACTGACATTTTTTGTCGTTTTTATAATCAAAAGATAACTTAACAAACCTTATTGAGTTGTTGGAATTGCCATATGGCAGATAAAAAGGAATATTTCTAGAAATATCGATATTGATGTGTTTGTCTTCAGGAAATTATTAAATGTTCCGCCATTTAGGGTTGTGAAGTATTCGTCAGGAGCTTCAAAATAATGTGTCACTAGACCCCCCCTTTCCATTTAATTATTTTTCCCAAATTGCGCCCAGCCGTCATCTTGAAAGTGTCATCTGTCAATTTCACTTCAAAACAAAGTATTCATGCATCAATTTCATTATCCTAAATTTCAATTTTTTGAGTTGATCCGTTCAAAAAATAAAAGAGGGGGGACATTAAACAAATCCACTGCATAATACATCTGAAATCTATGAATATCTGAAAGATCATGTGGTATATACAAAATTTGACATAGGTTTAAGATATGGTAATTTGAATATACATTTCATTATTTTATTTTGCAGTCTCAGAATATAGTATAGAAGTATAAATGAATTAGTTATTCCTCAAAATGAAAATATATATGTTAGATTCGAATATATAAACAAAAAAAGACACATTTGAGATATTTCGAAGGAATGAAATTTCTCTTCTAAATAGTATTTCTGAAAGTGGTCTGATTTTATTTTTCAACATCTCAATATAAGTATTCCAACAGATTATTCAATGTATAATCTTGAAACTTTTGTAATTTGACAACATTAAAATCCTAATTCTTTTTGTCAATGGTTCTCTTCTTGGATATATCAACATTGAAGAAGAATTTTCATAATTGAAACTCAATTTGTAATAGAGGTCAACAATATAATGATATCAATCATAAACGGCCGTGGAAGTTTACACTGTTCGACAAAGGATTGTTGCTCAGAATGATAAGAACCGGTATATGACACTAGACTTATTCATGCTTTCCAAAGTCTGAAAAGAGCAAAAGTTTGGCATGGAAACCATGAACAGTTACAAAAGCGCCATTCCAAACAGAACGTTGTTGACTTTTTCATCGAACACTGTGTTACAATTAGCAGGAACTTTTCCTGGAATTGATGGATGGCTAAAGGTAAACGTGAGAGTTCACCTCGTTGTGAAAGATAGACGAAGTTAGAATTAGGAATTTAGTATAGTTCATATCCTAATAACGCCAACTTGGTCTGAACAATTCCTTCAGTGTTTGTGCCGGAGGTTAAAGTTTCACCCTTCAATAAAATACGCAAATTGAAATATTACTTTTTACGTCATCATAAAATTTTCCACAAAAATATCTCACGTTATTTGTACCATATTTAGAATTTTAAGCTATTCGCGATAACATAATCTACACGGATATTCAAATTCGAGCCTCTGCAACGGGATCTCGTACCTAGTCTAATATATAAAAATGGATGTTTGTTTGTTGGTTGGTTGGTTGGTAAGTGATAAACTTCTACATCGCTAAACCGATCGTGATGAAACTTGACATATATAAGTAATTTTTCATAGAGAAGGTTTTTAGGCTATCAATGTTTCTGTAACTCGCCACTAGATGGCGTTGTAGAACACTTTTTTGACATCACTGTTCTATAACGCTGCGCACGCCTAAGTTCGTTGATTCTGATTCTGTCAAAACATTGGAACAGCAGCGATACACAGCAACATAGTACTAGTAAGATATAAAGAGTAAGTTAAATTGTGGTAGAGTTATATTGAATGATAAATTGGTTAAGGATTTCGCTCCGAGATTTTCAGTGTTACTATCTCCATTCAGGTTTCAAGGCCGTCGTAATTTGGAACTGCATCATAAAGTATACACAACTAACACATGAAGTGTACCAAAAACCGACACATAGGGACAGATGTCTGCCTGCACTTTCGAACCACCATCCAAGTAAAAAAAGGGGAATTATCAACACCCTGACGGAACGTTCTGTAGAATATATGAACCGGAACACCTACAACAAGAATTGGATCATCTTCAAGTGGCTTTAAGATCGAATGGATACAGTGTAACCGAAATCAACAAGGTCATGAAACTAAAGACTTCCAGAAGTCAAAATAGGGAGAAATCTCAAACGGTTGCACGTGCATTTCTACATACAGCCCTAGGTTTACAGACAGAATTGTATAAATCTTAGGGAAGCATAAAATAAAAACAGTGTTCAAGCCTAACAGGAAAATATAACAAAGCCTGAGATCTGCCAAAGACAAAAGAGATCCCCTATCAGCGGAAAAGTTTATATCGGTACCACCAAAAGATCCATGGGTACAAGGCTGAATGAACATCGGAGAAACTTCATTATTCAATATTTGGGATAGTCTATATATGAAGGTACGCATTTGGCCTTTAGGAGGCCTGTATATATTTATCAGACAGTAATTCTCATTAGAGAACGCAAAAGAAATGCCACAGCATTCTATATGCATTTCGTCATCTCTGTCCATAGCAATGTGTAGGTCTTTACAGGAAATATTTTTTCTAAAATATATTAATACAAAACCATGGATATGGTTTTGTCGGTTGAAAAAGCTAGCTATGTTGAAATTATCCATTGATACTGAATGTATGATATCATTAGAACACCATATAGTAGTAGGTTGGCGAGAGGTCCGGCGAGTATAGTGTGCGAGGCAGCACTTCGACGCTCAATTCAGACAGATTGAAATTGGGCAACTTTGCCTTTATATCAAAACTCACAAATTTATCTCTTATAGGACACCTCACTACATTTGAAAGATACGTAACATTTGAAACACAGTCGCTCTAAAACCAGAAATCGTGATGAATGTATTATACCCAAACACTCCTTCCTCAGCTTGCTGTACATATATAATTTAGTTGTTCTATACGAGTATAATGATCACACAATCCGAGAAATCTTTTTGAGATGGCGACAATTCGGAAACATAGTACATATTTATTATTTACTTTTCAACACCTGTTTTTTTTTCATTCTTACGATAAAATGTTAATAAAAATTTGGATGATTCAGTGATTTACAATGAAGCATATTCTTCAAATCATTGAATTTCAACTGATTGTTGTTTTTCAATAGTGAAGATATTGCGTGTTTCCAAGACGCAATGTTGTTGAAAGATTTTTACAATTGGATAGTATTTTGTTCTGAAATTTTTGTTGTATTTATACAGTTTGCGGCAGAGATCGAATATACCTTCTTTCCTCCCCTTGAAGGCCATCTACCTTAGAATTTGAATAAAAAATATACTAAGGGTGTGTTAATTCAGACCAAGAAACTTATGTATGGCAGGCAATGGAGACAATTATAGCATCTATTGTGAATTAATGTAGTTTGAAATCATTTATATCACGAATGGTTTTAAATTTTCTTTATGAATTGTTTAAATTATCTTTCAAATAAAGTATCCTAATTTGACATACGAAACTGCTGTTTTTCCCGCAAAAGGGCGCCAAAATTGAAAGTTAGGTAGTGATCACTGACATGGATGAATTGCTTATATTACCTTTTCAATGCAGTGTCACACTTAGTTTTTCCTGTTGAAATTCTAAGGGTGATGGAGTTTTTGCATTTTTTCTCAACAATGTGTCTTGAAAATATTCGCCATATTGATGATCGCTCAATATGTTGAAGCCTTCCAAATATATGAGGATATGGTGGTTTACGGTTTCCTCCATGATTTTTGATATCAGTGATAGCAAAGCGACTGGTCTATAGTTATTTGGAAGAGTTTTCTTGCCCTTTTTGGGAATAGACTGAACGCGAGGAATCTTCCAACAAGAAGGAAAATGCCTTTCTTGTAAGATAGGTTGCGCACTTTTCAAATACGATGACGGACACTTCATCAGGACCAGACGCCTTGTTGATATTGATCTGTTTC